ATGATCAGCCATGTGTGGGTCCCGCGCTTTTTTTTTTTTTTTTTTAAGAATTATTTCATTTCATTTTATTTATTTATTTTTAATTTGACCAGAGAAAAAATGAGAAAGGAAGCCGTCAGGTCTGGAATTCGAACTGCAGTCACCCATGTAGGAGTCTAGCACCTCAACTACCATGCCATCTGCTGGTCCCAATATAATCTGGTTTTATTTTGATCCCTTTTTTAAAAAAAGAATTATTTATTTAATTTTATTTATTCATTCATGTATTTTTTAATTTGACCAGAGAGAGAGTGAGAGAGAGGGAAAGTGAGAAAACAAGCCACCAGGTCTAGGACTCGAACTGTGGCTGGCCATATGGGAGTGTCCAGAGCCTTAACTACCACGCCACCTGCTGGTCCCCTATATGCCATTTCTATATCAACTGTAATTGAGGAAACTAAAGCACAGAGAGGTTAAGTAATTTGGCAAAGGTCACATACCTGAGCCTCTTGGACTTCAACGTCCTTTTTTCTAAATTAAACATCTTTTTTTTTTTTCATTTTAAAAAATTAATTTGCAGGACCAGCAGATGGCGTAATGGCTATGTCTCTGGGCTTCCATGTAATCGACCACAGTAGAGTCCCAGACCCAGTGGCTTAAACTCATACCAGGCACATGTGTGTGCATGCCCAAGATCCTGAGAGGAGAACAGAGAAGGGATTGTGGTGTGGCCAGCCCCCACAGGGGGGTGATTTCTCGCTTTCTGTCTCTCTGGTGAGTTCATGTACCCGATAGCAAAAACTAAAATAAAAATAGGGACCAGCAGGTGGCATGGTGGTTAAGATGCTGGACACTCCCACATGACCGACCATGGTTCGAGTCCTGGACCTAGTGGCTTGCTTTCTCACATTCTCTTTCTCTGTGTCTCTCTCTGGTCAAATTAAAATAAATGAATGAATAAAAAAAAATAAACAATTATTTAAAAATAAATTTGCCAGAGGGCACATATATTTGCCAAAGAGAGAGAAAGAAGGAAAACAAAGATGTATACCCCATGGGGGATAGTCATGTCACAATTCCCTCTCCTCTATCTCTCCTTTTGAAATTTTGGGCATGCATGTACACGTACCTGGAATGTTCTCAAACCACCAGGTCCAGGACTCCAACCATGTAGTTGACCACGTAGGATTCAGCTGCCTTAACCACCAAGCCATAGGCTAGTCCTAAAATAAACCTTTTATCTTAAAATAATCTCAGACTGTGTCAGCCAGGTGGCATGGTGGTTAAAGTGGCTGGATCTCACTTGGCCGACTCTGCAGTTTGAGTCAGGGAGAGAGAGAAAGAGAGAGGGTAAGTGAGAAAGCAAGCCGCCAGGTCCAGGACTAGAACTTTGGTCAGCCATGTGGGAAAGTCCAGCGCCTTAACTACCACACCACCTGCTGGTCCCCTATAAGTGTTCTTTCACTTACCTTTCCCAACAGATTATGAGTTTTAAAAGGAAAGAAATTTGGGGTAATTCATGTTTTGTCCTTGGTACCTAACACAGTACTTGGAACCTGGTAAACAATTTTCAAATAATGCTGGTGGAATGAAAAAATGAATGTGTATTTTGCTTTTCTGATCTCAAGAAGACCACCTGCTATGCAGACGGTGTAGTGGGTACATTGCTGGACTCCTACATGACCGACTGTGGTTGAGTCCTGGACACCATGGCTTGAAACTCATGCCAGGTGCGTATGCATGCTGGCCCAAGCTCCCAGGACGAGAATAGAGCAGAAGGAACTGCAGCATGGCCATGCCCCCAGGGGGGTGATTTCTCACTTTCTCTCTCACTGTTTCTGTCTCTGTATCTCTCTCCAGTGAGCAAATGTACCCTAAGGCAAAAAAAAAAAAAAAAAGCCAACCTATACAAATATAAAAAGGATCCATTCTTTTAGGAAAGGAACCATGTGTACACTCTGTACCTGCTCTGGGCTAAACCCAGAGTGCTCAAAGCACACTGCTGCCTGACCGTGAGGACAGCAGCAGCAGCAGTACACGCGGACACAGCTCCAGAGCGGACAGGAAAACAAGCGGCCCAGAGTTAGCACTGCTGGGAAAGCAGTGCATCCTGGGGGTCTCTTCTGCTACTCACAAGAAGGCCTCCTTCCTGCGAGACTCCTTCAGTGGCTCGTCCTCTTCAGCATCGTGGCTGGAAGCTGTGTGGGGTTCCGCTCTGGGGAAGAAAGAATGAAGGAGTCGGGGGCGGTTCCAGGAGGCGGATGGGGTTAGGATGGGCGAGTCTCACCTCCGGTATGTGTCAGAGGCGGCAGCATAGTGGAGGGGAGAGCAGCCTTTACAGTCAGCCTCGTTGACCCCTGCCCCAGCAGTCACCAGCGTTACCGCACACTGGTAGCTACCGTTGGCGGCTGCATAGTGCAGTGCGGTCCTGGGGAAGAGGTGAGGGAGGAAGGGTGGTAAAAGAATCAGGAACAGACCCAAATGCAACCATAAGTGCCACCAAAAGCTGCTCTGTCACTTTCTTCACTTAGTCCCCAACTCCTCACCCGGTTCCCTCCCTCCCCCTACTGTTTCTCTATAGTCAGACCCTCCCTTCACATATCCCTGCATATTAATGTACCTTCCAAATTTGTCTCTCCTCCTCAAGTCAGCTCCACTGCTCAAAAGCAAATTAAGACATTCAACATTCCTAAAGGGAAGATAGATGAGGGTTAAGAGAGAGCACCTCAAGGGGAAGCCATAGGTCCAGGGAGGGGCAAAGACAGACAGAAGTACACAGCCCTCCAAGCTGTGACTGCTCTTGCTGCGAGAGAGGAAGAGATCTGGGCAGGCAAGAATAAGGAGTCAGATCCTTGCCCAACTCTCTTCCCAAGGCCTGAGAGGGAAGACGGGGGACTCACCCTCCAGAAGCAGCAGCATGAAGACAGGTGCGGCCAAGGTTGTCGGGGGTATTGATGTCAAACCCAGCAGAAAGCACATGCTCGTTGCTGAGTGAAGATACAATGCTGTACAGCTGACCTGGAGGGGCAGAACAGCCTCAGATCACTCTGAGATCATGAGCAGAGAGGGAAGGGCCTCTGCCTTGCTGCCCAATCCCCAGCCAATCAGCACATACCTGAGGAAAGGAGCTTACGACAACAGTCGGAGAATCCAAAGAGAACAGCTAAGTGCAGGGGGAACATGTCATGGATGCCGCGCCTGGGAAAACACGAGGGACTGTCACAGGTCAAGGAGGGACCAGTTCCAGGCCTGTCTTCTGTGGCCCACCACTACATTTGCAGTTGGGGTAAGAGGTTCCCCAAGCTCCCTTGGCAAACTTTCTTACACCTCCATGCTGGATGTAAATAGTCTGTACAGATTTGAGGCGGCCCAGAAGCAGGGTCGGGGCCCTGACTCACCGGGCGGTATCCGCGCCATTGGTCATGAGGGTGCTGATGAGCAACTCGTGTCCATAGCGAGCAGCCACATGCAGTGGCGTGTTTCCAAATTTGTCGGCACAATCGATCTCACTGCCTGAGAAGGGGATCCACACAGAGAACTCAGGTAGACGCCAGGCGAAGATCACGCTCCACTAGTCAGCTATCGTCTGAGTTCATACTAAGTGTCAGGGGCCAGCCTATCACTCTACGGTGATCTTAAAAGCCTTAGGAGGGGTCAGCAGGTGGAGTGGTGGTTAGGGTTGCTAGACTTCCCACATGGCTGACTGCGGTTTGAGTACTGGACTCGGTGGCCTGCTTTCTCACTTTCCCTCTCTCTCTCACTCTATCTGTCTCTGTTCAACTCAACTCAATCAATCAATCAAGTTAAATAATATAATTCTTAAAAAAAAAAAACAAAAGTCTTAGGAAACTGGGCAGGGTGGAATAGGGCCATTTCTGTGGGTTCCTTGATGAGAGCTCCAAGACCTATTCAGGAAGGGCCTCTCCTTGCTGGGAGATGGGGTGAGAAGGCAGGCGGTGGAGGGGTGAGTTCCTCCGGGCAGAGATGAGAACACAGTCTCCTGCGTCCATACCATTCTGGATGAGGATCTGGGAGCGCGTGAAACGACCATGGATCGCAGCCATGTGCAGAGGACTCTTCCCTTCTTTGCTCTGTGGAAACACGGTGTTTGTTTTTTGTTTTTTCAGTGCAAGGGACAGAGAAGGTCCCGTTCCCCCGCCATAAAGGACACATCTCTGAGGACAGAGAGGTTGTATGAGCATCTTCTTGGCCCACACTCTTCCGAGTCCCTGACAAGGTCTGATCACTCTGGGAGAAAAGTGGACAGTTCTCCAGAGGTATCTAGATATGGTCAGGACCCCTAGAGCCAGGCTGTTTTCCCCACTGTCACAGACTCATCCCTTCAGGCACCTGGTAGTTGACATCGGCCCCGTTATTGACCAACAGCTCCAAGCAGAGCGCGCCATTGGTGGAGACTGCAGCCACGTGCAGTGGCGTGAAGCCCTTGTCATTCGGCTGGTTGACATTGGCTCCTGCATTCACCAGCTCAATAGCCACAGCATCCTGGCCCAGGTAGCAGGCGATGTGCAAAGCTGTGTTTCCAAAAGCGTTGGGCTCATCAATCTGGATTTCCAGGGGTAAGGGTAAGGGAGGTATCAGTTTAAACAAGGTGGAAGCTGGCAAATAAAGCCTAGAGTACCCCAAATCCAAGGACTGCCTCGGCCTTCTCGGTTTCCTGACCCAAAAGACTGAGAGCCTGAGAGCACTATTACTAAAAGGAAGTGTTTTTCAGACCCTCTCACCACATCCTTCCAGCTTCTACCAATCCCAGAGCTTCCCTGTCTCCATCAGAGACTCTGACCTCCACCTACCGGCCCTCAGTCCCAACCCCCGTGCTCAGCGCCCTGACCTCAGCCCCCATCCGGAGCAGGTACTTCACCACCTCGATCTGGCCACTGGCAGCAGCTGTGTGGAGCAGCCCGTAGCCCTTGCGGTCCTTACAGCCAAGGTCTGCTCCCCGTGCTACCAGCAGTTTCAGGACCTCCAAATGCCCTGGAAAAGAAGGGGCACGCTCAAGGAGGAGCAGGGTAAACTAAGGCCTGAGTTTCTCTCTCAAAGGCTGTAACCCCGCATCTCTGCCTAGGAATCCTAAATGTCAAATTCCTGCTTCCCTACGTACTCTCACCTAGAAAAGCTGCCCAGTGCAGAGGCTGCCGCTCCTTTTTGTCACAGACATTCAGGCTGGCTCCCTTGTTGAGGAGCAGGTTCACCGTCTATATCAGAATACAAAAAACACCTGTTCAGAGCCAGGTTCATGTCTCAACCTACCTTGGAACAGAGGCCTCCTCTTCTGAAGAGGCTGAAGCAGGCTGATGCCTCTATTCTTGAGCAGAACCATCTAGAGGACTAGAGGGAACAGTGGAAGCAGGCTCTAAGGAGGAGGTATGAGACAGATCTGGAAGTTTGAAGGAAGCCCAAAGGAGTCTCCACAGGTGATTTTAAAACTGTAATTCTTCCCCCCATAGGGCATGTGTGCTCGCTAGAAAGAGAGTGGGAAATCGCCACCCAGGGGTTTGGCGGCCATGCTGTATCCCTTTTCTTCCATCCTTCTCTTGGGATTTTGGCCATAAACCCATGAGGATTCAAAATGCAGTTGCCATGTAGGATCTGGCCACCTTAACTACCAAGTGACCTGGGTGGCCCTGAAAACTTTAATTAATCTTTGAAAATGTGTTGAAAGATATGCATTTTCTCTTCAGAAAGAGGCCTGTATATACACACATTCCATGCAGCATCAGAGGTTTTATCAAACTCCTGAAGTTCAAGAAGAACTTTGGTCTAGTCCATCTATTCATTGGGTGCTTCTCCCCCAGGTCTGGGGACCGGGCCAGGGAAAGGTGTGTGGGAAGGTAAGGAAGGGGAAAGCACCAGGCTGGGCCTACACCGGAGCAGTCCTCACCTCAAGATGCCCGCTATGCACTGCGTGGTGCAGAGCACTGCGCCCGCTCCTGTCAGCCACGTTGAGGCTGCTCAGCAGGGGTGCCAGAGCCTCAGCACACTTAGTGGCCCGGTTGGCAGCAGCCACATGCAGTGGTGTCTGCCACAGCTTGTCCCGGGCATTCACGTCTGCTGAATGTGCCAGCAGCAGCCCCAGCACCTTCTGTGGAGGGGGGACAAGAGAGAAGATAGATGGGGAGCAGGAGATAAAACAACAGGGAGTAGGAGGAGGGACAGGTCAACGTGCTGCATATGCCCATGGCCCAGCACAGTCCCTTCTCGTTTTCCCAACATTTCTAGCCTCTTAGTACTGACTTCCCATCAGGGGATCTTCACAGAACTTAAAACCTTCCTTACCTTGCTGAGGAAAACAGGAATCCCTCCTCTAGCCCACAACCTGAAAATCTCCACCCACACGAAGAGCCACTCCCAAGCAAATCCACACATTCCAACCCTCACTACTTCTAGGAAAAATAAATGTTCCTGCTACAGTGATGCCCTGAACACTATCCTTTGCCCTTCCATCGGCACTTAAATCACTTCCATTACTTCAGTAAGTAAGGAGATAGATACCGGTTCCTCTCCAGAACCCGGGCTGAAATGCCTCTTCTAACCACCACCCACCTTATTCCCACCGACCTCAGTCCTCCCACCGGTGGCTGAAGCCAAGGAAGTGATGGTGCAGAAGCCAAGGGAGAGGTCTCGTTTCCCTCCCTTCAAAGTGGATGGGAATGGGGACAGGACCCATGTGATGAGGTATGGTTGGCCCCTGTGCTATTAACTGTCATGCTGCTTGATGGGCAAGGAAGCAACAGATCATGACTCCCATCCCCCACCCAAGGAAAGAAATCTCAGAGCCCAGAGGGGGATCAGACTCAAGGTGGCCCCCCAGGGAGGGATGAGTCACTCAGGCCTGGCAGCAGGGCCCCCGCAGTCTGCCAGCCCAGTGTTAAGCTCTCCTTGACGTCACGTCAGCTGGCAGCACTCAGCCCCCCTCCCCAGCCAGTTCTAGGGGTAAGAGGGAGGGGCCAAGCTCTGGTCTCCTCCCTACCTGGGGTAGAACAGCTTGTAGGGCAAAGGATTAAGGCTCTCCTATCCTTAACCTCTACCTTGAATCAACTCGCCCTTTCTGGAAAGGGGAAAAGAGGTGGAAGGTCCGTACCTCGTTTCGGGAGGCAGCAGCACGATGAAGAGGGGTCAGCCACAGTGTGTCCTTAGCATTGACATTAGCACCTGTGGGGATGAATTTCCTGTTTTGGCGGGGCGGAGGGTAGGAGGTGGGAAGGAAGGCAGCAAACTGGCCAGGGAATCTGGATGGAGCTGGCGCTTCACCTGGACCCTGCACCAGAGATCAATGCTTGGATATGATAAAAGAGACTCCTCCCCTTGGGGCCAGCAGGTGGCATGGTGGTTAAGGGCACTGGACTCCCACGGTTCGAGTCCCAGACCTAGCGGCTTGCTTTCTCACTTTCTCTCTCTCGCTGTCCCTCTATCTCACTAACCTTCTCTGGTCAAATTAAAATAAATACATAAATGGATAAATAAAGTTAAATAAAAAAATTCTTAAAAAAAAAAAAAAGATTCATCCCCTTGGGTCCCCTCCCAAAGTGCCACACCTTTCAGCTCCCCACTTTCACCTGACATCAGTAGCAACTGGAGAATGGGGACATCGCCTACGTAGGCAGCAGCATGCAATGGGGTTCGCCTCTCTTGGTCCTGGGGAGGCAGAAAAGAGGAGCAGCTATGGGAGGCAGAAAGGCTATGGAGGACCCTAGTCCAAGTCCCAGAACTCCAGGACATTCCCACAATCTCGGTCCATGGGTTCTGCAGCATCCTAAATCCCGGTTCTAAGTCAAAGGCAAGCACCTAGGCAGGGTGGAGTCTGGCCACAGGGCCAAGAAACCAGCTCCTTCTTCCAGGAGGGGCGGGGGCGCTGCAGACCCTAAAGGTTCAGAAAAGCACACCGTTTCTGAGCATCCCCAGCTCCACTGGTCTGTCTGTGCTGCAAGCCTGACTTTCTCTGCATCCCCAAATGTAGAGCAGGCTCCCACCCCGGAGTGGAAAAGAGCTGCGGCCTCATCATAGCAGAAGAGACCCGGAGCCGCCCCACCGGCGGGGAGGGGTCCAGGCCACCGAGGCCCGGATTCCCGGCTCGCCATCCCTGCTCCCAACTCACCAGCACATTGATGTTCTCCTTCTGGGAGAGGAGGGAACGCACTTCCTCCACATCTCGGCTAAAGATGGCCTGGACCAGGGGCGGCTGCAGGGAGAGCCGGCAGGCAGGGAGCCGGCCAAGCCGGAGCGGACCCGAGGGGGATGAGGGAGCACCCGGGTTTGAT